GTTGGTTGTGGGTTTGTCTTAGATGACTTATTATTTTGACATATGTTCCTTTGATGTTCAGTTTCTTGAAGGCTTTTGACATAAAGAAATGTTAAATTTTATCAAAAGCCTTTCTGCATCTATGGGGGGATCAAGTGTTCTTTGTTTTGTTTTGTTTTGTGGGGTGGGGGGCGCGGGTCATGAATCACATTATTGATTTGTGTGTTAAACCAAATTTGCATCTCAGGGTAAAGCCTACTTGATGGTGATGAATTATCTTTTTGATGTGCTACTGGATTTGGTTTGCTAGTGTATTAGTCCATTTTCATGCTGCTAATAAAGAAATACCTGACACTGGGTAATTTATACAGGAAAAAGGATTTATTGAACTTACGGTTCCAAGTGGCTGGAGGGGCCTCATAATCATGGCAGAAGGCAAGGAGGAGCAAGTCATGTCTTATGTGGATGGCAGCAGGCAAAAAGAGAGCTTGTGCAGAGAGTCTACTGTTTTCAAAACCATCAGATCTCATGAGACCCATTCACTATTATGAGAACAGCATGAGAAGGACCTGCTCCATGATTCAATAATCTCTCACCAAGTCCCTCCCACAATACCTGGGAATTATGCGGGCTACAAGATGATATTTGGGTGGGAACACAGAGCCAAACCATATTATTCCACCCGGCCCCTCCTAAATCTCATATCTTCACATTTCAAAACCAATTATGCCTTCCCAATGATCCCCGAAGTCTCAACTCATTTCAGCAGTAACTCAAAAGTCCACAGTCCAAAGTCTCATCTGAGACAAGGCAATTCCCTTCTCCCTATGAGCCTGTAAAGTCAAAAGGCAAGTGAGTTACTTCCTAGATACAATGGGAGAACAGAAATTAGGTAAATACAGTCATTTCAAATGAGAGAAATTGGCCAAAACAAAGGGGCTATAGGTCCCATTCAAGCCCAAAATCCAGCAGAGTCGTCAAATTTTAAAACTCCAAAATTATGTCTTTTCACTCCATGTCTCACATCTAGGTCACACTGATGCAAGAGGTATGACCTTGCATCATGACCTTGGGCAACTCTGCCTCTGGGGCTTTGCAGGGTATAGGGCCCCTCCTGGCTGCTTTCATGGGCTGATACTGAGTGTTTGTGGCTTTTCCAGGTGCATGGTGCAAGCTGTTGGTGGAGCTACCATTCTGGGGTCTGGAAGACAGTGACCCTCTTCTCACAGCTCCACTAGGTGGTACCCCAGTAGGAACTCTGTTGTGGGGCTCTGACCCCACATTTCCCTTCTGCACTGCCCTAGCAAAAGTTCTCCATGAGCACTTCACCCCTGCAGCAAACTTCTGCCTGGTCATCCAGATGTTTCCATACATCCTCTGAAATCTAGGTGCAATTCTTGACTTCTGTGCATCCACGGGCCTAACACCATGTGGAAGCCGCCAAGGCTTGGGGCATCCACCCTCTGAAACAACAGTGTGAGCTGTACCTTGCCTCCTTTTAGTCACAGCTGGAGCAACCGGAATGCAGGGCACCAAGTCCTTAGACTGCACACAGTAGAAGGACCCTTGAGGCCCCATCCACGAAACCATTTTTCCTCTTCAGCCTCTGGGCCTGTGATTGGAAGGGCTACTGCAAAGGTCTCTGACATGACCTAGAAACATTTTTGACATTGTCTTGGTGATTAACATTCAGCTCCTTGTTACTTATTCAAGTTTCTGCAGCCAGCTTGAATTTTTCCTCAGAAATGGGATTTTCTTTTCTATCCCATGTCAGGCTGCAAATTTTCCAAACTTTTATGCTTTTGTTTCCCTTTTAAAACTGAATACTTTTAACAGCACCCAAGTCACATCTTGAATGTTCTGTCACTTAGAAATGTCTTCCACCAGATACCCTAAATCATCTTTCTCAAGTTCAAAGTTCCACATATTTAGGGCAGGGGAAATATGTCACCAATCTCTGCCAAAATGTAACAAGAGTCACCTTGGCTCCAGTTCCCAATAAGTTCCTTATTTCCATCTGAGACCACTTCAAGCTGGACTTCATTGTCCATATCATTGTCAGCATGTTGGACAAACCCATTCAGCAAGTCTCTAGGAAGTTCCAAAGTTTCCCACATTTTCCTGTCTTCTGAGCCCTTCAGACTGTTCCAACCCCTGCCTGTTATCCAGTTCCAAAGTTGCTTCCACATTTTGGGGTATCCTTTCAGCAGCACCCCACTCTACTGGTACCAATTTACTATATTAGTCAGTTTTCATGCTGCTGATAAAGACATATATGAGACTTGGCAATTTACAAAAGAAAGACATTTATTAGACTTACAGTTCCATGTGGCTGGAGAGGCCTCCCAATTACGGCAGGAAGGCAAGAGGAGCCAGTCACATCTTATGTGGATGGCAGCAGGCAAAGAGCTTGTGCGGAGAAACTCCCATTTTTAAAACCATCAGATCTCATGAGACCCATTCACTATCATGAGAGCAGTATGGGAAAGACCTGCTCCAACTCAGTCATCTCCCACTGGGTCCATCTCACAACACAGGGGACTTATTGGAGCTACAAGATGACACGGAGTCAAACCATATTAGCTAGCATTTTATTGAGGATTTTTGAATCTATGTTCATTAAGGATATCGGCCTGAAGTTTTCTTTTCTTGTGTTTCTGCCAGGTTTGGTATCAGGGTGATGGTGGCCTCATAGAATGAGTTAGGAAGCTGTCCCTACTTCTCAGTTTTTAGAAATAGTTTCAAGAGTATTGGTACCAGCTCTTCTTTATAAGCCTGGTAGAATTTGGCTGTGAATTTGTCTTGTCCAGAACTTTTTCCGGTTGGTGGGTTTTTTGTTACTGATTCAATTTCAGAACTCATTATTGGTCTGTTCACAGTTTCAATTTCAGAAATCCTTATTGGACTGTTCTTTCTGGTTCAATCTTGGGAGGTCATATGTTCCAGGAATTTATCCATTTCTTCTAGGTTTTCTAGTTTGTGCGCATAGATGTGCTCATAGTAGTCTCAGGGATTTTTGTGTTTCTGTGAAGCCAGTGGTAATATCTCCTTTCTCATTTCTGATTGTGTTTATTTGGATCATCTGTTTTTCTTTATTAGTCTAGCTATTGGTCTTTCAATTTTAGTCATTCTTTCAAAGAACCAACTTTTGGTTTTTATTGATTTTTTGTAGGGTTTTTTATGTCTCAATTTTATTCAGTTCAGTTTTGATTTTTGTTATTTCTTTTTCTTACACTAGCTTTGGAGTTGGTTTGCTCTTGCTTCTCTAGTTCCTCTAGTTGTGATGTTAGGTTATTAATTTGAGCTTTTCTCAGTTTTGATGTAGCTGTTTGGCACTATAAACTTTCCTCCTAACACTGCTGTGCTCCAGAGATTCTGGTATGTGGTATCTTCATTTTCATTAGTTTCAAAGAACTTCTTGATTTCTGCCTTAATTCCATTGTTTACCTAAAAGTCATCCAGGAGTAAACTGTTTGATTTCCGTGTAATTGTATTGTTTTAGAGATCTTCTTAGTACTGATTTTTGTTTTTATTGTGCTATGGTCTGGGAATGCGGTTGGTATGACTTTGCTTTTTAACAATTTGTTGAAAATCACTTTATTATCCAGTGCATGGTTGATTTTAGAGTATGTGCCATGTGCAGATAAGAAGAATGTATATTGTGTTGCTGGATGAAGTGCTCCTGTAGGTATCTGTCAGGTCCACCTGGTAAAGTATTAAGTTTATTTCCTGAATATCTTTCATCATTCTCTGCCTCCATGCTATGTCTAATACTGCCAGTGGGGGTGTTAAAGTCTCCCGCAATTATTGTCCACTGGCTAAGTCTCCTCATAGGTCTCTAAGAATGTTTTATGAATCTGGGTGCTCCCAGTGTTGGGTGCATATACATTTAGGATGGTTAGGTCTTTCAATTTTTTTGTTGAATTAAACCCTTTATCATTATGTAAGGCCCTTCTTTGTTCTTTTTGATTGTTATTGGTTCAAAGTCTGTTTTGTCTGAAATAAGAATAGCACTCCTGATCTTTCTTGTTTTCCATTTGTTTGATAGGTGTTTCCCTATGCCTTTACTTTGAGCCTGTGGGTGACAATATTCATTTGGGTCTTGTTTTATCTGACTTGCCACTCTTTGCCTCTTAAGGGTGATGTTTAGACAATATACATTCAAGGTCAATATTGATATGTGCAAATGTAATCCTGTCATGGTGTTGTTAGCTAGTTGTTACATTCACTTGATCGTGTAGTTGTTTTATAATGTCAGCGGTTCATGGACTCAAGGGTGTGCTTGTGATGGATAGTACTGTTCTTTCATTTCCATGTTTAGTACTCTTGTAAGGCAAGTTTGGCAGTAATGAATTATCTTAGCATTTGGTTGTCTGCAAATGATTTTATTTCTCCTTCACTTATGAAGCTTAGCTTGGCTTCCTACCACTAGTCTCCTAACAGTGCTCACCGTCTACCAAACCAAAATGAAAATCAGAGAGCAAATATTTCACTGTTGTTATGATTCCTGGGGCAGGACTTAACAAGCTGTGCTTATTTTGAAATACGGCTAATAATTTGGTTGCATCCCAAGTTCTGAGAAGCACTAAAGTCCAGAGAAAACTGTAAGTCTTGTTCCATTAGAGTCCAGTACAAACTGTGAGTCTTATTCTACACCATGCGTGAGAAAACATTTTTTTGTAAAGGGCCAGATGGTAAACATTTTAGGCTTTGGGGGCCATACAGTCTCTGTAGCAACTACTCATCTCTGCCTTTGAATAGCAACTTAACAAAAAAAAAAGGCCTTGGCAAGACTTTGCCCCCAGTAGGCTGGATTTGACTTACAGTCTGTAGTTTGCAGATTCATGCTCCACTTTGTGAGAGCCAAAGTTTTTATGGAATATGGAGTATTGTGTTCATTACTACCCTTGCTTAAAAAAGAGAATTCCTGAATACCCTCTGATGTTTGAAGTTTTAAACATATACTTCTTATAAACTTAAAAGCTTTAAAAAATACTGATTATTATACATATCAGTCATACCAGAAGTGAAATTTGACAAATGTCTTCAAAATCGGAAGCTCATATTCCAGAAAGATGCTCTGTTGAGGAATAAAAGGGAATATTAGATGTTTTATTTCTATTTATTTATTATCACATTTGTTTTAAAATTTTTTACAAACACTTTATTAGGTACTTAAATTATCGGTACTATAGTAAATACAAATATTTACAAATTAAGTCAATTATTAAATTTATTGGAATGCAAATTTGGCGAAGTAAGAACTTTTAAAACTCCATCCCTTCATAAAAGCAATGAGAATACGGATAAACAATTGTTAAAATCATCTTTTTGGAAATTGACCAAAGGCTTGCAATACAAGGAAGTTTATTCAAGGAAGCTGGCTGAGTCTTAGTGAGAACATTCAGCTTTTCGACAATTTAACTTGCCCGATTCCTGTTTCCTTTCTTCCAGCACTGTAAGATTCTTGAAAATCAGCAGGTTTGGAATGATGGTACCTGTGAAACACAGCAGTCTAGCAGCCACTGGAGGGAGTAGAATGAATTTTAGCTCCCCCAAAACTTCATCCCCAGAGAACTGTTATTATCTGACCTGTCTGGGAGCTACTGAAAAAATCCCATTCTCAAGGTCTGTCTTTATTTAAACTGACTTGAAGCACAATGAGTGAAAAATATTTGTGTTCAGGACACTTTAAAAAAATATCAGAGGCAATTGCTAAACAACATAGCTACCAAGGGTCACCACTCCAGTTGGGATAAACAAGAGACCAAAAAATAAAAAGGAAATAAGCAAAATGAGACCTCCATAAGGAGTTTTGAAAAGTTCTAACATGTTCCTGGGAATCTAAAGGTGCATATGCAGGGCTGGAATATGCCAAGAAAGACTTGAGAAGATTTTAATATCGTCTCCTGGGCTGACCTAAGGCTCTTTGCAAACAAGACATGAGACATAAAGCATAGCTATAAACTGCTAGAGCACTGAAAGCATACCCCAACCCACACCATGAGGCCTATCGAAAAAGGATGAGAGACTTATTGGTTTAAGACATTTCAGGAAATTTCTGTGCAATGATTATTCGACTACTAAAATAACTGAGTGGTGACAAGACTTCAGTGGCTGTGCATAACAAAGAACACAGACTTTACAGAATAAATCCAGGAAAGTCACTAAACAAAGAAACAGATACACAGAAAAAGAAACAACAACAAAAAAAGAAACAACAACAAACTCTGGGAAAGGGGTAGAGACCTAATTCCCAGAGTTGCTATGCTGTCTTATTTAAAATATACAGGTTTCAATAAAAATTACAAGACATAAAAAAATAGAAAAGTGTGTCCAATACACAGGAAAGAAAACAATCAATAGAAACTAGGGTTAAAAAGCAAAACAAAACCCAAGATATTAGATTTACAAGACAAAGATGTTAAGTCAAATACCATTAAAAGAACAAAATAAACTAAAAGGTATCTGCCTGAGATCACTTGAGTACAGGAGTTTGAGACCAGTGTGGTCAAAATAGCAGGACCCCAACTCTACTAAAAGTATAAAAGTTAGCTGGGTGTGGTGGTACATGCCTGTAATCCCAGCTATTAAGGAGGCTGAGGAACAAGAATAGCTTTAACTTGGGAGGTGGAGGTTGCAGTGAGCTGAGATTGCACCACTGCACAGCAGCCTGGGCTACAGAGCAAGATTCTATCTCAAAAAAAAAAAGAAAGAAAAGAAAAGAGAAAAAAGAAAGAGAAAATATTTTTTAGATGAATGAATGAAAATGAAAATAAAAACATGTAATAAAATTCACAGGATGTAGCTAAGTCCGTGCTCAGAGGGAAATGTATAGCTATAATAACTGCCTACATTAAAAAATAAGAAAGACCTGAAAGCTATAACCTAAACTTTCACCCTAAAAAAAAAAAAGAAGCATAAACTAAATGCAAGGCAAGCAGCGGAAGAAAATGATAACGAGTGGAACTAAAATAAATGAAATAGAGAATAGAAACACAATACAGAAAAGCAATGAAATCAATAGTTGATCTTTAAAAAGCAAAAAATATTGACAAATCTGTAATTAGGTTTAGCAGGAAAAGAAAGAAGAAAGACTCAAATTACCAAAATCAGTTATGAATGAAGGAGCATTACGACTGACCTTACAGAAATAAAAAGGATTATAAGGGAATGTTATACACAACTATGTGCCAACAAATCAGATACTGTAGATGAAATGGAAAAATGCCTCCAAAGATGGAATTTACTAAATGGGAGTCAAAAAGAAATAGAAAATCTGAATAATTATAACAGAAAAAGAAATCAAATTAATAATTTTTAAGCTTGTCATAACAAAAGGTAAAAGCATAGATGGGTACATTAATGAATTCTACTGAACTTTTAAAAAAGAATTAATAGCAAATTCCCATGAATGCTTCCCAAAAAAGGAGACAATTTTAGCTCATTTTTGAAGTTAGTTTTACTTTGATCTCTAAATCAGACAAGAACATTCTAAGAAAACTACAAACCAATTTCCCTAAGTATACAAAAATTCTCAATAAAATTCTAGTAATGTATAAATGCTAGCAATATATAACAATATCTAAAAACGATTAATCACTATAACCATTTGAATTATTCTAGAAATCAAAGATTGACTTAACATTCCCAAATCAATTAATAAAATGCACCATATCAATATAGAATAAACCACATGCTCATCTAAATAGACATGAAAAAGATTTTGATGAAATCCAATTTTTTTCATGATGAAAATATTAAACTAGAATTGGTAAAAGCTTCCTCAACTTGGTAAAGAACATCTATAAAATACACAGGGTTGACAGTTAGCTGAATTAGATAGCACAAAGAATACCACCAAATCATTTTATATACAAAAATCCTGAAGAATTCAGAAAAAAAACCTATCAGAATTAACCAGTGTCTCAACACAGTTTTAGACTAAAAGATCAATCTGCAAAAATAAATTGTATTTCCATGCACCAGCAATGAACAATCTGAAAATAAAATTAAGAAAATAATCACAGTTATAATATCATCGAAAAGAATAAAATAATTAAAAGAACAAAAGAAATGCAAAACTTGTAGGCCAAACTACTAAATAACATTGAAAGAAATTAAAGAAAACTGAAATAAACAGAAAGCCATCTTATGATCATGAATCGGAAGACAATACTACTAATACGGCCATATTCCCTAAATTAATCTATAAATTCAATGCAACTATTATTAAAATTCATACTGCTTTATTTTTTGAAACCATTAACATGCTTACCCTGAAATGTACGTGGACATGCAAGGGACCCAGAATAACTTAAATAATCTTGAAATAAAGGGCAAAGTTGGGGGACTTACACTTCTCAGTTTCCAAACATACCACAAATCTATGATAATCAAGACAGTGTGGTAGTGACATAAGGAGAGACAGATAGAGCAATAGAATAGAACTGGAAGTTCAGAAGTAAACTCTTAGGTTTATGGTAAATTGATTTTCACAAGGGTTCCAAGTCAATTCAGTGGGGGAAAAGAAATCTGTTCAAGATTTGGCACTGGCACTACTGGATATTTTCATGTAAAATAAAATGGAATTGAGCCCCAATCTCACACTCCATTTAGAAATTAATTCAAAACAGATCATAATCTATGATATAAGAACTAAAACTATAAAACTCTTAGAAGAAAACAATAATGATAATTCTTCATTGACCTTGGATTAGATAATGGCTGCTTAAATATGACACCAAAAGTACAAGTATGAAAAGAAAAAAAATAAATTGGACATCACTAAAATGTAAAAACTTTCATTTTCAAAAGACACTACTAATGAAGTGAAAAGACAGCCTTTGGAATGGGGAAAAATATTTGCAAGTCCTATATCTCCTAAGAACTTCTGTTCAAGATATACAAAGCATTCTTATAACTCAACAATAAAAATAAAAATACTCCAATTTTTTAAAATGGGCAAATGATTAGAATAGACATTTCTCCAAAGAAAATACATTAATGATCAATAAGCACATTAAAAGATGGTTAACATTTCTAGTCAACAGAGAAATATAAGTCAAAACCACAATGTGATACCACTTCATACTCACTAGAATAACAAAAATCAAAAAGACAAATAATAACAAGCGTTGCCAAAAATGTGAAGAAACTGAAGCCTTAATAGATTGCTATGAATGTAAAATGCTGAAGCCTCTTTGGAATGTTTGACAATTCCTCTAAAGTTAAACAAAGATTTAACATATGACCCAGTTATCCCTCACATAAGTATATTCCATGAGAAATGAAAATATGTGTACACATAAATATTTGTACTGGGATGTTCATAGCAGTATTCATAATAGCAAAACACTGGAAAACAAACCCAAATGTCCACCTACTGTTGCATAGGCAAAATGTGGCATATCTGTAAAATGGAATGTTATTTGACAATAAAAATGAGTGAATTACTAATACATGTACAACACAGATGAACATTGAAAACATTATGTTAAGAAAAAGAAGCAAGTCAAAAGAGCATATATTCTATGATTCCATTTCTAGAACATATTCAGGATAGGAAAATCCATATGGTGAGAAAGCAATTTAGTGATTTCTAGGGGCTGCAGGGAAAATGAATGGTGAATGATTGCTAATAGTCACAGAGTTTCTGTGTGTGATGAAAATGTACTAAAATTAGACAATGGTGATTATTATGTAACTGTGACTATAGTTAAAAAACATGAATTGTATTCTTTGAATGGGTGAATTTTATGGTATGTAACTTTAATCTAAATAAAACTGTTATAAAAATTATTGAATTGCATGCCATCATTTCATTTCATTTTTTAGAGACAGGGGTCTCACTATGTGGCCCCGGCTAAAGTACAGTGGCTATTCACAGGCATGATCATAATGCACTGCACAAGCCTCAAATTCCTGAGCTCAAGCAATTCTCCTGCCTCAGCCGTCCAAGTTGTTGGGACTTCAGAGCCATGCCCAGCTCATCATTTGTTAAGACTGATGGCATATAAGCTCAAGATAGCTTGAAGCGAGTACTGTTTCCTAGAAGGCTGATCAAGCTCCTATTCGACT